GTCTTCGGACGAGTTGTTGGCGGTCGAGACGCCATAATGTTGCTTCCAAATCACAGCTTTTTTGACGGAGAGCCGAACGAATTGCAATTTAGTGTCATGGCAATAGCAAGGGATATTTTTGCAGAGCGATCTTCTCGTTGCCGGGGTAACGATGCTTCAAAGGAAAGCTCCCTACCCAGCTGTACATTAGATGCTCATGTTTTTCACGATGGCCTACGACTAGGTAAAGCAAAATTTTGAATGTTCGAAGATCGAAACAAACAAACTGGCCAAAAATGTCAGTAAAATTGCAAGTGAGCGCAGCTGAGTTGCGCACATTCAAATATAGTAGTGGGCAACAGTAGCATACAACTTTCAGTGCAAATATCTTCATTCTGCCAATACTTCCTGCATTTTGATACTAATTCGCACTGAACTGTTCTCTTCAACATCTTCCTTTCGCGCACATACTTTAAGTAGGAATGAATGGGGGTTGTAGGAAGGTTATGCATTCTCCGAAATAAGCATGCGAATACCTTCGGTGAGCAGTAAATCTCACCCTCGTAAGGTGTTTTGTCAGCTGAGACACTGACATAATCCTACAAGGCTGGAAAATACGTCATCTCATTCTACGGTTCGACGCTCAGGAGTTGGCGTATTGAGGCTGGGTAACATTGCTCGTCTTCTCTTGCGTAAATTAGCAATGTAACCATCCCAGACTGTATGACGATGTTGCGTCCCAGTATGCGAGAAAAGCACAGCGTACTGGCCTGTAAAACACTATACCACCCTTCAGATCAGTTTCGAGTCAAGTTCATAACACGATTGGCATAATGCAGCGCATATCTGGAGTGTTGCGTAGGATTGGTAGCAGCGTGACGATGAGCTGAGGCCGGCAGCATAAGCTGATCCAGGACGGATTCCTGAGGAGAGGGGTGAAGGAAGAGAAGGGGGGAGGAGGGGGAGAGAGGCACGGTGGGTGGGAAGGAATCTCCTCTCACCCTGGAACCATGCGAAAACTAGGGATAGAGTTGTAACACTGCTACTTAGAGTTACTTTAGGCTTTAGTTTATTTTAGTTTCAGCTTTAGACCCGGGTTTTTGCAGCACTGTTGCCTGTGCTGCTG